TGTATAATAGTGATGTTTTGGAAATTTAAATCATATTATATCACACCCCTCCATGGATTCCCAGCACACCTACATAACATTCAAAGATGTTACTGTGGCTTTCAAAACCCTGGATGCCTCTCTGACATTATCCCCCATCACTCTGTCCCTTGCCTGACCACTCTGGTCACGCTGGCCTCCTTCTTGTCCCTCTGGACCTTTGTGCATGCTATTCTCCCTGCCACAAATTCTTGCATAACTGGTTCCTTGCCACCTTTCAAGATTAAGCTCAAAATGCTGCCTCTTAAAAAAGATCACCTCCCGGGCTTTTCTGGTGATCCAGTGGTTACGATTCCACACCTCCACTGCAGGGGGCGCAGGTTTGATCCCTGGTCAGAAAACTAAGATCCCCTGTTCCTTGAAGTATGGCCAAAAAAGCAACTCCTATCTAAAGTGGCCTCACCATTACAATCACATTGTAATTGTACAATGTACAATACGATTGTACAGTACGATTACAATACAGGGATTTATTTTACAATAAATGTACAATACAATTACATCACATACTTCATAGAATTAGCACAATGTTTTGTATTTTTTATTTGCCTTTTGTCTAACATCATTACTAGAATGTAAACTTTATTAAGCCATATATCTTGACTGGCCTAGTCACCCAAAACAAAGCATCTAGCACATAGCAGCTGTTTCATAATTATTTGTCGAATGAATGAATGAATGAATTTTCAGCTAGTCATGGAGCCCTGAAGAGATGTCGACAGCACTCGACTTCTGCCAGAATGGTGGTCATATGTGCTGGCCCAAGTTTTTTTTGTTTCTGTTTTTAATTGATTTGGCTGTGCTGGGTCTTCATCTCTGCACGGGTTTTCTCTAGTTGTGGCAAGCAGGGGCTACTCCAAGAGTTTGTACGCCACAACAAAGACCTGGTGCAGCCAAATAAATAAACAATTTTTTAAAAAAAGAAAATAAGACTATAAAGAAAGACTATTTCCACCCCCTCCCCAATTATGACTTTGTTGAAAATTTTAAGTTTTGGTATAGCCTCCAGGAGAGCGATTTGGCAGAGTTCACTGTATTGTATTATTGATAATAATAGCAGCTTACAGCTAATAGGGGCTTCCCTGGTGGCTCAGTGGTAAACAATCCGATTGCTAATGCAGGAGACTAGGGTTCAATCCCTGAGTTAGGAAGATCCCCTGAGGAAGGTAACCCACTCCAGTATTCCTCCCTGGGAAACCCCATGGACGGAGAAGCCTGGTGAGCCACAGTCCATGGGGTCACAAGGAGTCAGACATGACTGAGAAACTTAGCAACCACAGCTAATAGCTGCTGAGCGGAGTATATACATTCTTTACTTTTTACCTTCAGAGCAGTGCTGGCATAATTCTTCCCACTTAACAGAATGGGAAGCTGAGGCACAAAATGACAATTGTCACACCCAAGGACAAGCTAGTGGCAAAGGCGGGCGGTCTAACAGTCCCCAGACTGTCAAACTCCTGCCCCATCTCCTCCCGCCTCCCCCCACACCAGGCGCTGGTTGTAGACTAGGAACCACCAAGAGGCCTGGGAAGTTGCTGGTCTCGGCGGGCGGGCGCAGCCGGGGACCTGCCCACCTGGCAGGGGCTGGAAGGCTCGTTCCACTCTGGCCCACGCTCACCGCGTGCGCAGCCCCACAGCCGCACTGCTGACACGTGGTCACCCTCGCCCCTCCGCTCTCCTCCCCCGCCCCATGCAGGCGCCGGCTCCCCGGGAGGTGGGGGCCGGAGGGGAGAAGGCCGCTCGCCCCGCTCTGACTTCCCCACCTCCTGCAGCCTCCGCGTCTGCGCAGCCGCGGTCCCTGCGGCGCCAGCTCTGCGGCGCTGGACAGGGTGGTGTTTGGGGAGGGTGAGTCCTCCGAGGGACCCCGCGGGCAGGAGCCGGGCGGGGGAAAGGGGCTGGGGGCTTGGACGCGGGCCGGGGACGCGCGTGTGTGAGCGTGGGTGCGTGCCGGGGTGAATGCGCACCGGGTGAGGAAGAGAAGGCGCCCCAAGGGGTGTGGGTCTGGGTGGGGGGAGTGTCCAGGTCCCGCGAGTGGCAATGGGTTGGGCTGGGGCTGCGGTTCGCCCAGTTTCTCCGTCCCGCCCTGTCTGCCTGCCTCCTGCGGGTCGCACGGGGGTTTTAGCCTCCGTGCGAGGAACCGGGAACCGCCCTGCCTGCCTGGCGAGTCAGCTGCGTGCGTGGCTGCTCCGCTCTGGCGGGGGCCCGGGGTCTGTTAACCGCGCCGTACCTGTGTGCCCGCGCGTGCGCCCGGGAGCATGTGTGCGCCGTGTGTCTGCCTGGGCACGTGTGTGCCACCTGCCACGGGCGAGGAGCGCGCGCGCTGGAGTCGGTCCGGTCTAGGGTCCCTGCGTGGCTCCTGTTAGCTGCGTGCCTTTGATCAAGGGCCTTCCCAGTCTGTAACAGAACAGACTCGTGGCAGGAGCTGCCGCGGAGAACAGCCGGCGGTGAGGATTAGGTTATAAAACGAGGCGGAGTTCTCCGCAGTGCCTGACCCCCTGGGGCTGCGCCAGGAAGCGGCGGTCCGGTTGCAGTGTTACTTTACTGTGGTGCTGTTGAGGGTTACTGCGTCTCCGTCTTCCTCCTCCTCCTTTTTTCAGACATCCGTAGTTTGTTTGTTTAGTCCAAATACATTCAAAGTGGAAACTCAAAGAATACTTTCCACCTGAAACAAACTAGATACTACCTAGTATATAATGCTTAGCACACTACGGCAATAAAGATGACAATCTATTGTCTTATACACCTACTAAAGCCAGTGGCAGAGCCGGTTTGGTTGCAACAGTGTCTTGGTCCGTCCTTCTCAGAGGAAGACCGGTCACTATGCTAATATGGTGAGATAATGCTCGAGGCTCTTAGGTGTGAATTCACACACACACACCTCTGTCACAGCCGCAGATTTCTCTCTGTCCTGTGCCACCCCCCTCCATGAATCGTGTTCTGCATCTTCTGACTTGGGTCGGGGGGACTCCTGTCTGCTCCACCCCCCACCCCCTCACCTGCTTTCTCTCCACTTCCCATGCCTTCTTACCCCTCAGCTAAAACAGGCTTGACTACTTGATATGTGATCATTTACCTCGAGAGGCTAAAAGCTGGTTTTATGTTCTTGTTCTAGGGCGTTGCATGTATTAACCACCTTGCACAATGTAACCCACTGAGTATCCTCCTGAACAATCATTTAAAAAAGGAGCACAGGGTTCCCTGGTGGTTGAGTGGCTAAGACGCCAGGTTCCCAAAACAGAGGGCCCAGGCCCGATCCCTGATGGGGGAACGAAGATCCCGCATGCAGTCCAGCAGATCCTGTGAACAGGCTGAGTGTAAAAAAATAAATCGAGAGCCCCTTCCTCTTTCTGTCTTTTACTTTCACTCTTCTGAAAGTGAAAATGAAATTCGGGTCCAAGACATTCTCTATTGTAAGGGAGCATGAGGAAGTCTCAGCGGAGGCGAGCGTGGCGAGAGGACACAGGCAGTGAGTTCTGCCCAAGGGCGCTCCACCGCTCTGTGTGGACAAGCCGCCCCGCTCCGCCCAGTGAGGACGCGGGCCCGGAGCCCCTATCGTCTGATTTCTGGAGAAACCACTGGAAATCTGTATTTGCAGTTGACCTCGTCCACATTTTAAAATGCCAACAATTATTTTCAAAGCTTGAAAGAAAGACATCGTGTAAGCCAACAGCACAGGCGGTGGGGCCAGGTTAGACCCTGGGGCTGCCCGTTTGCAGCTGCGTTGTGGGCTGGGGAGTGTGGAGGGGGTGCGGAGAGGAGGCTGTGAGCACAGACGTTTCCCAAGAAAACAAAAGCAAAAACTAGTGTTGGCCGGGAAAGTAGCGAGACAGCCCCAGTAGGGAGTAGTGTTTATTGCTTTGGGCTGCTTACTTTTCATCTCATGCTGGGGTGCAGCTGGTTCGCAGTGCTGTGTTGGTCTCAGGTGTTGAGGGAAGTGACTCAGTTACACCTGTGTCTCTTCTTCTCCCATCGAGGCTGGTACAGAAGAGTCGAGTTCCCCGTGCTGCTCCGTAGGTCCTTGCTGACATTGTATTTTGGCTTTAATATGAGACGTAATGAACTGTGTGTTTTTAGCTGAGGGGTGAGAAGGCATGGGAAGTGGAGAGAATGCAGGTGAGGGGGCGGGGGGTGGAGGAGACAAGAAAAAAAAAGTATTTATTTATACATTTTTGGCTATGCCAGGCCTTAGTCGCAGCACTCAGGGTTTGCGGCATGCGGGATCTTTAGTTGTGGTGTGTGGGTCGGTTCCCTGCCCGGGGGTGGAACCCTGGCCCCCTGTATCGGAATCTCAGAATCTTAGCCACTGGACTGCCATGGAAGTCTCTAAATTGGAGTTTTTTTTAATCCTTGTCTGTCAAATCCTCCTCCTCCTGCTTCTCCTTCATGATCACAGAGGAGAAAGTCAAGGTTGCAGGGGGCTCGAGGGAAGACTAGGGTCCTTCTTTCTGCAGCCAGAGGGGTTACGGCGGGTACTCTCTTTTCCTAAAAGCTTCTGGGTCTGTGCTTTGGTTGTGGAGTGTGTGTGTGTGGAGTGTTTGTGTGTGTGTGTGTGTTTTCACACTTGCCTGCACCACCTTCTGGCCATCCTCTCTAAACTCCCTATTCCCTTTCTTGTTTTATTTGTCTCTAGAGCGTTTGTCATCATTTGACATATTGTCTCTCTGCCCCACCCCCCGCCTCTAGCGTGCACGTCCCAAGAGGGGTGCTGTGTTCTGCTCTCTGCTGTATCTCTGTAGCTGCTGTTCGGTAGCTCAGTCGTGTCTGACTCTTTGCAGCCCCACCGACTGCAGCCCACCAGGCTCCCCTGTCCTTCACTGTCTTTCAGAGTTTGCTCAGAATCATGTCCACTAGCCGCTGATGCTATCTAATCTTCTCATCCTCTGTTTCTCTGGCACCCAGGAATTGTCCTGGCACAGGGCTGACACCCTGCAAATATTTGCTGAGTGACTGATGTCTGTCAGTCCTCAGGTTCCGACTCCTGTTCCCTGGGGAGCTCAGCAGGACCCTGGAACAGGGGGAGAAGTAGCCTGTCTGTCAAGGTCCACATTCTGAAGAGATGCAGAGTCTCAGACCTGAGCAGATCCGGGGGCTGCTGGAGCCCGAGAGGGCGAAGACGCTGCTGCCTCGGGAGAACAAGGCCTGGGAGAAGCGTGCTGCCTTTGCTGAGGACTGGGTGGCTGTGGAGGTTGGGACCTCCAGCTGCAGCGGCGAGGAGAGAGGTGAGGGCCAGGGTCGTGTGGGAGGCGGGGGCGGCGGAGGCCATGGCAGAGCCTGGGGAAAGGGGACTTGATCCCGCTGCTCCTTTCAGCACCTTTTCTATGGAGCCTGTGTCAGTCAGCTTTCTGCTGTGTAACAAGTCAGCCCAAAACCGAGTGGCTTAAAGCCACAGTCATTATCTGTTGACGATTCTGCGGGTCGGCAATGCTTGTGGCCTCGGGATAGTTCTGCTGCCCTTGCCTGTGTTTGCTCCCGCTATGCAGCCGCAGTGAATCAAAAGGCAGCTGGTTCATCTGAGATGGCCTTACTGGGGTGTCTGGATGGTTGGATGGTGCTGACTTATGGCCATGTGTCTCCAGCAGGCTTGTTCAGGGTTATTCTCATCGGGGTGGTTGAAGAGTTCTTAGGAAAAACAAGATATGGAAGACCCCAGGTCACAGCACTTTTTCAGCCTCTCCTGGCAACCTAGCAGCTCCTGGGTGTACAGAGGGTGGTGTCATCTGCTGAGACGGGGACAGCCCGGACGGCACCCCCACCGCAGAGTGACGGCCAAACCTTCCACCAGGAAAGGGTTCTTCCCTCTTCCCCGGGAGATCAGCAGGCCTGGGACCAAGGTGGGGGAACAGAAACGTCACTTCCAGCAGTGAGGAGTAGGTTTAGGGCTCCTGGCAGGACCTGGGTGCAAAAGAGTGGGAAATACCCATTTTTGGTTCCACCCCTGGTTCTCTGCAGTTGACAGGTGACAAGAATGTTGAGATTTGAATATGGGGAGATTTCTTCACTGGAGACTGGAAGCTGGGGAAGCCTCCATCCTCCTGGCTTAACTTTGTGGCTTTTTCTTCTGCTCCCTCACTCAGTTTTTGCCAGAGGCCTGTAGAAAAGGAACTATTGTACCCATTTACCAGGTGGTGGAATAGAGGCTCAGGTGGTGAGTCACATCAGGTGACTCCGTTTAAGTCTTCTGGGTAGTTAGTGGCAGAAATGGAATCAGAACTCAGGTCTCTTCTTCTCTCCACCCCACCTGAACCACGTACATGGAGTGTGTGTCTGTCTGTGTGTGTGTTTGTGGTGTGTGTGTGTCTGTGTGTGTGTTTGTGGTGTGTGTGTGTCTGTGTGTCTGTGTCTGTGTGTGTGTCTGTGTCTGTG